ATATTTATATATATAAAGAGACCAAATAGGAGACTACATTTTTTACTGTCAATATGTTTAACTTCACATACTGTAGTTGTATAAAACATGCATTTTCTGGGATAATTATGAACACGTCATGAATGAGCCCACATAAATTATATCTTTTGTACAACTCCAAGTTAAAAAAAAAGTCAGATTAAGTGCCTCTGAGGCCCTTTCTTCCCAGCTATCAGTTCTCAAAACACAATACTGAAATATTTATCTATGCCTACAGCTATGTGCTAGAGAACCAGATTTAAAATTTTAAAATACATCTACAGTATGTTTTACTTTCCTTAAAGTTTGTGACAGTCCTCAGATATTGTGTTGTGAAATGTAAAAATAGTCACAGATTCTTCTTTTTTTTTCCCAGAAATAAAAAAAACACATCTAGGAGAGTATGCAAAAACAAGGCAAAATGAAGTTTCATAGCACTTACTGAGGGTTAGTATAAGTCAATAACTAATATTGAGGTTTGTAAAAAGGGCTGGAGCAGTTACATGTACAAGCAAATGGTCTACTAATTCCAATGGTATCAGACATTGTTTCTGTAACCAGTACTTCTCCACCCTTAAAACCAGTCGATATACATTCAAAATAGGCTGACATTGATATACTTAGTAGGTGTAAAAATAGTGCACTATTTTTTCTGCCACAAAGCAAAATTGCATCCTAAGAGCTGGTAAACCTTCTTTTTTCCTTAAATAGAGAGAATGGGCAAAAAACTTGAAAAAAAATTAAATTAAGGCAATTAGGTAAAAAAGGGACTGCCCATGATGACGTAGCTGAAACTAGTTATGTACTTCAAACTTATACTAGCTGCTGAGCATTGACATGCAGCTTTTGATAGACATGTACGAATGATATGAACTTCAACATTATGGCTTTATACAAGTGCATAGTTGCAACTGCAATAAGTAACAGTATCTGATTAACAAGCATAAAAAAATAAAGTGGAAAGATTTTTAAAACCCTCTTGCAGTATTACAGTACAATATATATACACAGTATAATGGTCACTTCTTACAGATGCAGTCTATATCACTGTGGTGGATCTTCCTCCTGCTCTTCTTGCAGACATGCTGGTGGCATCTTTACGAAAGCTGTAAAGTCAGTTTCTTCCGTTTAATATTCATTCTTCTCGATCCTTTTATGAAATGTAGTGTGTGTGTCTTGCCAAGAAAGCTTTTGTGGAACAGAGTTTAAAAGGTTACCTAACATATCCTTTTACTATTTACCAACCATTCCTCATTTGATCAGTCACTCAGGAGAATACAGGAAAACCCTCAGAGATTAGTAATTTATATTGCAGCAAAAATGTAAACCTCTGATATATATAGCACAATCTCTCAGGAAAATATATATTTTTAATATATTTTGGGATATGTTTCAGTCTTGCCATAACGGGAAGAAAATGATCACCTTGAATTGGGTCTGCATTCACGGAAAGCAGTTAGCTGAAAAAGAAGGAGAAAGTTTGGTCAGTAAATGCAATGAATGTAAATCTGACAAAAACAGACTTCCTCAAAGTCTTCATTTAAGATGGGCTCATCAGCATACTTGGGAGAAATGTCACGCCTCTGCATCAACAGCACTGTTACTGAAGTATAGCACATCCTTACACATTATGATACCAAATCAATTAAACCCCCTTGTAATATAGGAGGGTAAAGTACAATATGCACAAGGTAATAGTAACTTCTAAAAGATTAGTAATTTTTAAGCTTTTAATACATAAAGATGCAGTATATTTAATTAACGTAATGCTTGTCACTGTAAACGCTAAGCCAGTTAAATTCTACGAGAGCTGGTATCCCAGTTAACTGAGTACACAGCTGAGGTACAGCCCTCGTGCTGCCCGTTCTTTTGTAAGGCTGAGACACACTTACGTACTATTTAAAAGAATTCTTAGGGATTTAACATTTAGGGTTTTTTTCTGTGTAAACGTAACACTGCATCAACATGTAAAATGATTAAACATTGAGAATGATAAAATAGTTATCACTATTTCCAGTACATTCACACTGCATATTTAAGTAAGCCATGGGACAAATTAGATCAATGAACGGCCGTATCTTTTCTAAAGCAGTCAAGGAAACCGCATCACATAAGCTGCAAAGCCCATTTGTTTACGCAGTTTTCAAATGCATGGTTAGGTACCCAAAAAGCACAGCACTGCAAAGGAAAGCTAAGTCAAATTCACTTCATAACACAGGTAGAAAAGCAAAATGCAGAACTCCAGTGATTTCATGTCTGCTAGCCGTAGACCAGTCAGTTTATGTTAAAAGCTTAAAAATGAAAAGTATTTGTAAATACCAATTCTGTTTCAGCTAAAGATCCAACTGCTACAATCTCCCTTTTAGCCTTCAAAAATTATCTGCAGATGTTAGCAGTATTAGCACTATAGATGAGCAACTACTCTGACAACAGGAGATATTTTCTTTTCGGGCAGGCAGACATGAATTTTGAATAAAGATCTAAAATTAGATAAACACTGACAAAGGCAACAACATCCTTTTAATGAAAATGACACCTCTAAAAATTCACTGACATCATGAACAGAATCTCATTTTTACTGTTTAAAATATTAAAATGAGATCTTTTATTTTCTCTGCTTTGAGAAACAAAATCCAACATAGCATGCTGTATTCAAAGGCAAACAAATCCATTCCTCGCTATTCAGATTTACCCCTTATACTTCTTCAGAAATCAAAAACATCGTCATCATCATCATCATCACCATCAATATCATCAACATCATCAAATGACCAATCCCAGTCCTTAAATGCCAGATCAAGTAGTCTGCAACAGGAGGGTTTGATGTTTAATATGTGTCACACTTCTATAAAAGACTTGAAAATTCCATTTGTTATCAATAAACCTTTTTAAATAAAAGACTGTGTTAAGGTAGGTGGGTTCCTTCCTTTGCCTATCATGGAATATGAAGATTCAGTCAGTGTTCATGTAAGCCAGGAATATCGTATTCATTGGAGATTCATCTCACAAATCATTCAATTCTATAGAACACTTACCATATTGATTTTCCCCCCAAAAATTCAGCAAAGACCAACATGTACGTTTCATAAAATTAGATGCCTTCTGTTTTGCTGCTGTTCTTGTTGACTGAGGTGCAGTTTTATATTCTCCTGCTATCCCTTTCCAGCCAATAACGGAAGGCTAAGAATTTTTCCAAGAAAATCAAATAATTTTGATTGCTGAACAGAACATAAAAACCAGCATCATCTGAATTTACAAATACAGTAGGATTTTACTATATCCCAAATACAGTGGGATTACACTATAGAGTTATCCTGCAGCTCATTATTTAAAGCTAAGCAATGCCAAAAAGGATATATGAACTTGTTCTCTAGGCATTGCTGCCTGCGCTCCTTCTATGGTCAATACAGAACAAAAGAAAGCAAGCAAGGCAAACCTTGTCAGCAAATGAGTCATTTTACCTATTTTAGGCATTTATTTTGGGATGGGATGAATAATTGTCTAGAGGCATTAATCTCTTTCTGTTGTTACTGAAGGATCTTAGACAAGTATCTTAAGTTCTAACTTCTCAATTGCTATAGCTACAAGAAATGAAACCCAGTCTAGTCATCTCTCCAGTGAGCTCAATGGATTTTAAATCAGGATTATATGCCAACCATAGCAGGCAGAGACAGAAGCCTTACCCTAACGGAGAATTCAGTGTGTTTTAACTAAAACATGCTACAGTGTTTAATATAGTTAATTGCATGCTTTGAACAAAATGGGTTTCAGGGGTTTTTTGGGTTTTCAGGTTTTAGAAGTTTTTACACTTTTAAATGGGATATATCCCTCAAAAGGCTCAATATTCATTTATTATAAACTATGGCTAATGTAATTTCTAAAACACTTAAAGAATTTATTAGGCATTAAAATATATGAAAGTTGATTTTTTCCAATTTGGAATTATCCTTTTGGCACAATCCAATTGAATGGGTAAGCAGAAATTGTACGGTCTTCATCAAAAACTGCTTTGCCCTTTCTTAAACCATCACAAAGAACAGCCACGAAAACCTTGGAGAACCAATCTCTGTGTGAAATTCCTAGCAGGGACAGCATTTACAGGACCACGCAGGTTGGAAGGGGCCTCAGGAGGTCTCTGAGCCCAACCTCCTGCTCCAAAAGCAGGGTGAGCTGCAAGGCCAGCCCAGGCTGCTCAGGGCTTTGTCCTGTCAGGTCTTTAAAGCCTCCAGAGATGGAGCCTGGCCAGCCCACCAGCCTGCCTCCCTGCCCAGCTGTCTGCGTTGGCTTTTCCTTCTACGCAGCTGGAGCCTCTCGTGGTTCACCCGAGCCCCTTGCCTCTCACCCTCCACCATGCAGCACTGAAGAGCCCGGCTCCGTCTCCTCGACGGTGGGGGCAGGCTGCTAGGACACCGCGCTGGAGCCGTCCCTCATCCAGGCTGAACAAGCCCAGCTCCCTCAAGCCTCTGCTCTGCCCATCCTGGTGGCCTCCGCTGGACTCTCCCCGGTTTGTCAATGTCTGGCTTGAATTTGGGGGCCCATCTCTTCCCTCAGAGGGGGATAATCTCCTCCCTTAATCGTCTGGCATTGGGCTCCTCTTGCTGCAGTCCCAAAGCCTGCCTTGCTGCCAGGGCCCACTGCTGGCTCATCTCCAGCTTGTCCCCAGCCACTCAGTCCCCAGATTTAACTGGCAACTAGATCTTCATTCTTAATGAAGTTTGTAACATAAAATTAATTATTCCATATGGTAAGCCCTTGCACAAAAGCCTCATAGAGGCACCAGTCAGATATTAATTGGCCATAGCAATTACAGTAATTTGTAAGTATGTGGTTTCTAATTAAAAGTGTTTAAATCCATACACGTTTCCACTGGCTTGACAGACCTGCATTAGTAAGGTGATAGGTGAGATGACCTCACAGAACTACACTTTTCCATCTGTTAGGTACATTTGCAAAGCTAACTTGGAAAGTTTAATTGCAAGAATAAAATGGTCTACACATAAGTATGTTCATCCTCCTCCTTCTCTCACCATTACAAAATATACAATATAGGGAGAAAAAAAAAAAAATCACTGAAAACTGATTCAGGCTGGAGGAGGACCACAACTAAAAAGAAGGGTAAGACTAAACACTGTGTTATGAAAACATTTTGTAACAAAGGTCATGAAGACTGAAAGAAAGGTGTTATAAGGAGAAAAATTATTTTATGAGCACCTAAGAACAGCTGTCAACAAAGAATCAGAATTTATAATATACCCTTTATATGTCAACAATAAGAAACAGAAGTAATGAATTAGATTGTAAACACTATACAGAAGAAAAGCATTTCACTTGTCGCCCAAGCTGTCATGAATGTTTCCTTGATTGATGCTTCAATCCAATCATTGATATGTTGGTTAGTTTTGCACAAAGAAACCCTTCAATAATCAGTCCCTAAGCAGTAATTAAAAAAAACTTTCTAACTTCAAGCTTATAATAAAAAAAACCCCTAATCATTTAAAATGCAAATGATGAGGTCAGACTTTCTTTTAAAGCATGTAAAGTAAATCACAAAAATCAGACTGTCAGGAAGTTAGGAGGGAAGCGAAATTAAGTTATTTTGAGTCCTTTTACTACACATTTTCACACATTAAAATACCAGTTTTTTTTTTTTAAGATCTAACTCTTTGTAGCGTAAGGCTGTTTAGGGATAACAGACACATCACAGTAAGAGCACGCTTACACTGCATTCCCTGCTGTAATTCTGGCAACTCACCCAACCCAGTTTTCAACCAGCCAGCTTAGATATTGGTGGCACTCTGGTCACAGAAACAAGGAGAGCAATACTGTCTAGCCAATGCCAAATTATCTCTCTGGGGAAAAATGCTAAGCCTATGCTGAACTGTCCATTGCTGCTGGAATGCTGCAACAAACAAAACAAGTCAGACCAAGCTTTCCACAGGCTGCCAGCAACTGGGGACTGATATAGCCAAGTATTAGCTAGTACTCTAGGTGATGAAAAAAGCAAACTGAAAAAAACCCAGAAATTCTGTACCATGCAATCACATAAGCACTCTGCAGAATGTTATCACTTCCACAATACAGTATAGGATTTTGCTCCTTAAAATTGATCCAGTAATAGATTACTGGCTTTTGTATGGCCATTTTTTTCCCAAAATCAGAGGAACTTGTAAAGACTAATCTTTTAGGAATCATGAGACATGAGCATGAGTCCTTCTAGGCTGAATGAGGAATTGAAACTAATTCTCCCACCCTTTGGTAAGTGCTCCAGCTACTTGATCAAATGGTGATTCCCCCACCTCCCATCTTCCTGCTCTCTTGCAGAAAGCATGAGTGATGCTCAGACAGGTGCCGACCACTGCAGCAACAGGCTCCACGCTGTGGAACCCGCATGGGCAGAGACATAAAAATGACATTCATCTGAACTAGGTTTTCACTGTAGATGCCCAAGAGCATGCTGTATGCTCCATTTCTACACTAGCAGGACATGAATCCTGAAAGCAACTCTTCCTAAATATCAGTGGTAAATGGAGTCCGACACAGATATATATGTTTGGTCAGATGAAACAGACTCTCTAACATACAAATCTACGATCAGGT